ACATACTGTCTAAACCCTGTGATGTCATCCCTCAAATCACACACCTTTGTGAGTGGGAAAAACCGCATAAGGAAGGTTTCCCCAAGCTCCTTCCATGTGGTGATGGACTGCGCAGGCAGATCTTCGATCCATTCTTCTGCTGCCCTAGCTAGAGAAAAAGGAAATAGTCTCATCCTCATAGCTTCTGTGGATACTCCATGAACATCAAAAGTATCAGAGATTTTCACGAATTTTGTGATGTGCTTGTGAGTGTCTTCCTTGGGTAATCCATGATATTGAGTCATGGATTGCAGCAGCTGTGTCATTCCTGGTTTGAGATCAAAATTCCCTTCCACTCCTGGCTGGACTATACTAGGAATCACCCCATCAAGTGATGGAATAGCATATTCAACAATGGGAAGCTCTTCATCCACCATAACTAGAGCATGGTTGCCATTCCCATTGCCATTGTTGTTTTCTCCATTAACAGATTCATTGTTCGATTCTGCCATTTTCAAGAATTCAGCATCAAATATGTGTAATTTGCTGGTTATTGTAATTAGAATTGAATTCTGCAAGAATCTAGTAGGATCTTAAAATTGGAGTTAGCAGATAACAAGAAAAATATGTGAAAAAGAAAAAAAAATTAAGAATTCTAAAACAGAATCACAAAAGGAAAATAAAATCAAACACCGTTCCCCGGCAACGACGCCATTTTATTGGTAGTAAATTTCCGAAGATAGAGTTATCGTTCTCAGGGAACAGGGTGAATTATTTTTCTTTGTATTTTTCTGAAATAAGGATTCTTGAATTGAAATTTAATTGGTTTTAGAACAAGAATTTTTTTTTTAGTCTTTATCAATTATTAAAACCAATGTTGTTAAAATCGAGATCTTAAGTAAGATCGGAAGATGATTAAAAAATCATAAACCGTAAAATCATAATGTAAAAAAATCGTAAAAACGTGAAAGCGTTTGGAATATTAGTAAAATCGTTTTGATGACAAAAAATCGTAAAAACGTAAAATCGTAGTGATAAATCGAGATTTTAACAACAATGATTAAAACTGATCTAAAAGTAAAGAATTGGTTTATCAATACTAAAGGCTTCTGGGTATATCTCAAATCATGGGTAACAGAAAATATTTGCATTCCTGCAAAATCGTACATTGCTATAGCAACTTTATCTAGCTACTTTATCTCAGTTTCTGAGTTACTACGGCAAATTTAGCTGAAGTTTTCCAGATTCAACAACAATAAGATTCAAGAAAGACTTTTCCCAAAGTTTCTTTAATCTTTATAGAAATTTATATCAGAAAATACCTTCGATTATTCTTAACCAAAAGAATTCATTTAACACTTAACAAAAGTTCATTTCCCAATTTCCTTTTGTTGAAATACTCAAGTCCCATTCCCATGGAGTTCTTGAGTTAAAAAAAGTATCAAACGAATGAAGATTAAAGAAACAATAACAATGCACATAAGAAATTTTACCCATGATTTGAGATATACCCAGAAGCCTTTAGTATTGATAAACAAATTCTTTACTTTTTAGATCAGTTTTAATAATTGATAAAGACTATAAAAAATTTTCTTGTTCTAAAACTAATTAAATTTCAATTTAAGAATCTTTATTTCAGAAAAATACAAAAAAAAATAATAATTCACCATATTCCCTGAGAACGATAACTCTATCTTCGGAAAATTACTACCAACAAACCATGAAATTTATTTAGCTATTTCTTTTTTTGTTGGGAAAATGGTTATTTTTTATTTAACTATTTTGATATCACTTTAACACAAAGTGATATCTATAACACGTAGGCTCCATCTCTGATCATGGAATAGTTGGGGCATTGGGTGGACTTTAAACTTTAGGACTATCATTATAAGTTTGGGTGGTTTTGTGACCATTGTGGCCCCAACAAGTCCAAGGAAATAACCAACAAAATTGCGGAGGAGTATTATTTGGTGGTGTAGGAAAAATTGGCGGGGGAAAATATGGGAAAGGTGGGTACATAAAAGTTTGGGATTTGTACACATGACCCTCTTTCTCTGGGGAGACCTCTCCCTGCAGCCTCAGTACTATTCAGAATTGCCATAACAATCAGAACTAAAAGCATTGAAGCAGTAGTGGTTTTCTCCATAGTATTATATGAGTTACTCCTTAACTTGTTTTTCTTTGTTTTGTATGAAAAATATTGGCTCCAAATTACTCCAATTTATAGAACAAGAAGTCAAGAGGGATTGTAACTTTTTTTTTTTTAACTGAAACGGGAATTGAATTAATTGGCCTTTCCGTGACGAAATTGATTTTAGGAAAATTAAGGTTTTTAAATGTTTAGGGGGACGGTTTCCTTATGTTGTTGTTGTTTAAGGTTTTAAATTGAAGTTAAGTTCATTGATTGCATAACTGGCTAATGAATTAATTTGTTCATGATCTGTTTTATTCTGTGAATTAGTGAGATATTGTTAAGGTGTCGTAATCTGAAGATAGAGTCAATGGGCTATGCAATTAGTCTTTGAAATTTTTTACTTCTGGCGGTGGATGAACGACCTAATATTTATTGAGAAGAAAATAGTTTGAAGGTATAAAAGTTTGAATCAGAATGATTTTAGCAAAAGTTAAAAAAAGTTTAAAAAGGTTACTTTTTTATTTCCTTTTTAATAATCTGCTGTCGAACCATTTGAAATTTATTTTATCACTTATACAAAATTCTCATTATTTAAGGGGAAAATTTAAAAAAAGCTCTATAAGTTTCTTCTAGAATTACTTATCCTTCTTCCAAAATTTTAAACCATTTACATCTTTATTTAATTTTTTTTATTATTTACCCTCTAATTTAAGGAAATAAGTGATAAAAAAACTTTAAATTAAGAAAATAAATGATTCAAAATTTTAAAAAAGGATAAGTGATTACGAAAAAACTTACAAAGGCGTTTTCGAAGTTTTCACACAATTTGATATGAGTTATAATGCTGCAATAGACCTAAGAAGATTGACAATATAGGTCCACGTAATATAACTTGTGTTGGGACAGTTATTCTAGGTGAAATCAGTTGCATTACAAAAGGAGGAAAAATACTTGAAAATAAAGATGAAAGTTGTTATTGACTTAAAAATTTGAAGAGTAAATGTACATGTACTATTTTTTCTCTTCATTATATTATATAAAAGAAAATTTCTTCCACTACTATATAAATATGGATTTTTTTTCATTTTTAAATTTTTTATTAACTATAACTCCATATTATATTTTTGTTTTTTTACTTTTCATTACTTATATATTCATATATTTTTTGCTTTTTTTAAATCTTTTTATAGCCTTTTAAGTTTTTTATTTTTGCTAAATAAATAATTGAAATATTTTATTTTTAATATTTATTTATTTATTTTTCTTTTCCCTCCATCTTTTCTTGACCCAACCCCAACTAGTTTAGTTGAAGATGAATAGCTATGGTTTCTATCATTTGTAACTTGTTGAAGAAGTTATGTGAGATAAGGTCCACGGTACTCATTTACAACAATCCAATCCAATTTTTTCATGAATGAACCTAACATATAGAGATTATTTTTCATTATATATATATATATATATATAGAGAGAGAGATTATTTTTCATTATATATATATATATATATATATATATATATATATATAATATAATATAAACGGTTGACTATTTTTGTACTCATCTCATCGTTTTTTAGCACATAATCAAATTTGAAAAGAAGTGACAACAGTTGCCATGAATAAGGCGTGCAGATATATCTCGTCTCTCCCCTGCAATTGAGGAAGGTAGGGCTGAAAAACTCAGCCATAATTCACTATTCTTCATATGAAGAAGGGGATAATTGTAAAATGACTAAAACATCCTCGAGCTTAAAATATTTGTAGGGGAGGCAAAAATACAACAATATTCTTCCTTATAACTTTTATAAAAAATAAAGATATACTTACAACTAAAAACTTGAAGAGTTTTGATGTACCACCGTCTACCCTAATTCCTCCCCCCACTTCACCATTACCCCAAGATAATGTTATGATTGAAGTTTCGTCAAGCAAACACCAATGTTGGGCTAATAAGAGCTAAGTTCCTACCAATTCTTGGTCAAACGAGATTAAAAACCTTAATTAATGGGCTCATATACAAAACATGGAAAGTTATACAAACTGATCATCAACTTAATAAAGCATAAAACGCCTTGGTATAAAGTGAAAAGTAACATAATATGAAGAGTAAATATGTAAAGCGCGTCCTTCTTTAAACATTTACCACCTAAATCAGCTGTTGAAAAACAGTGACACTAAACATGTAGACTATAATATTCAATGGGATTCACAGCTTGGAATACATATCAGCATTGATTAGTACTTCTTATCAAAAATAATGTTAGTACTGGAAACAACATTTAAATCTTTAAAATACTTAAAATGGAAATCATTAATCTCAATCAATTAAGGAATTCCAGCGTGGTTGATAAATATACTCAACATAGATCCTGTAAAGCGAGCAACATGACTCATCACATTGACTAGATGGGCAGTCTCTACATCCAACAGAAATGGAGTTCTCCGGTCAATGCAGATACTTCAACAACTCATTTATTTTTTTAATACAACAAAGAAAATACATTCTGATAAGTGGTAACAAATGAAAGGGTAACTATGTCTTCTGGAATAAAACAAACTTCACAAAATGAAATTGTTTCATCAGAGCATAATACTATCCGCAAGAATACAAAGCATCAGCTCCATCTAAGCACAAAGAAGCATAAACTAGAAACAGTTACATTGTAATGACACCTTTTGAAATAATAAGGCCTAAAATCACCATTCCTGTATTCATATCCCAAGTCATGATAATGGTTCTAAAAGGCAAAAGCTTCTAACTATAAGCATTTTATACTGAAAATTTGAATACTGTTCGCTCATACACATAAGGATAAAAGGATCAGACTGTACGCATTTCAGAAACTTAAAATGATTACCATTTTGGAAAATTCCACATGTGCAGATGGTAGTACCAAGATGAAAAACTACATCATTGGCTGGTTCAAACAGCAGTAAACTTGTATTCACAAAACCTTCAATCGGCTTTCGCCTCAAAAAATGATTTCTATCCAATTATCTAAAGGGTAATAAAACATCCACTAATCTAGTAGAACAAAAAGGAAATGTTCCTCTGCACATGAGAAGGTAATACAAGGCAAAAGCGAAAAGGACAAGGGAAATAAGAGACAACCCTATACAAAACATCTATATTCTTCTCTTTCCTAAAAAGAAAATTGGAGGATGAAGGGGGACCTTCTAAGAACAGCGGTAATGTACAAGACTTGCAAAACAAGAACAAAATAAGTAATGATGCATGCCTGCCTATGTAACTTTGGTTAATATTTTAACAGGACCTGCACAGAAATAATGGATATCTGCTTCCCTATTTCCAGCCATCATGAAAACCAGCTTCATCTGCACAAAACCCCATGACATAAATGAGGTCTTTATTTTATTTTATTTTATTTTTTCATTCTAGTATGAAAAATAGAAAATTATATCCAGCAAAAGGTCAGATACACATATACAAGACCAATATGATGCCCAATTCTTAAGAAACTTGCAACTTAGGCAACACTTAATAACACTATCATCACTGGATATTATTCATGAGAAAATTAACAGGGATCAGACCTCAACATACATGTTAGCCAAGACAATTGATTTACATAGGTATAAGACACACCAGAATTTCCTTGCATCAGATACACATATACAAGACCAATATGATGCCCAATTCTTAAGAAACTTGCAACTTAGGCAACACTTAATAACACTATCATCACTGGATATTATTCATGAGAAAATTAACAGGGATCAGACCTCAACATACATGTTAGCCAAGACAATTGATTTACATAGGTATAAGACACACCAGAATTTCCTTGCATCAGAACATATATCATTAACCAATTTAAACACGAGATGTAATAGAATCATCTATATGCCTTCATTTCATAGCTTAAGCTTTTGTGAGGTTTGGTTTGTGACATGATATCAAAGCCTCCTTAATCAAGTGGTCAAGAATTTGATCCTTAATGTTCAGAGTCTTTTTAATATAAGTCAAATATAAGCACATGGTAAAAATGAGTAGGTTCATAGTTAAATTTCACCACATGGTAAACAAGAACACACATGGTAAAAATGAGCCAATACATTGTACACGCATCAAGCCCAAATCTTGCATGAGGAAACATGTTGTCAAGAGATGTAATATAACCATTTGGGACAGTTGGTTCTCGGGAACTCTACCAAAAGCTTTATTGTATAAATGGGACATCTTTATTGTATTTACAAAATATTTCTATACGTCTTTATTGTATCTCTGAATAATTTAGAATGTCTTGCATGATTTTTAGAATATATTGCGGGATCAATTAATCATCTCATTGAGAAAGCAAACTTAGGAGTTACTTTCTATTGATGATATTTCCAGATTTATTTTCTTATTTAATTAGGGTTAGTAGTCTTATTGTATTAGTGGGCTTGGGCTTGCACTTATAATACTACACTACTATGTGATCTAATTACTAGTATAAAACAGACCATTGGAACTATATTTTGTATCACATTGTTAAGAAAATAATATTATGAAGAAGAAAGAATACTTGAAATGTTCGGCTCAATTGCTTGGCTTGAAATATACTGTCACCAACTTGCCACATAAGAAGTTTGGGCAGGTGTATGTAAGGAGGAAGGGGAATAAAAGTAGAGAATCTCAGCTCATAACTAATTGTGCTGAGTCAGCAAGGGAAATGGGAAGCAATTCGGTTGAGCCTCAACCGTTGAGGGAGTCACGCAGGATGCAAATGAAGAGATTGTTATTAGCAGGGGGGGTGAGAAATGGGAAGGGCATTCTGGAGCCTAGTGAATTTGGGACTTGGAACTTAAGAGGGAGCCAGCCTCTCCTAAAAGCTCTGGGTTGTAGCTATCTCACTGTCTCTTGTTTTAATTTCCATTTCCATTTTGTTTCATTTTGACTGTAAGCTCAGAACAGATTGTAAACGTTGCTAAAAAATCAATACAGAGACCATATTTTACTTTCATTTTCCTTGAGTTCTGACTTACTGTTACAACTGGTATCTGAGCTTCGATCTGGGAGCTCTATGGATGGTGGTAACGTGAAGTATGGAGGCTCAATACGAAGAATTGGTTGCGAGGGTGAGGAGGACGGAAGAAGGTTAGATGGAGATCCTCAGGAGGTTGGATATGGTTCTTCAGAACACTCAGAACGAAAATCTGGAAGACGAAGATCGAAGGAAGAATAGAGGAAATCTTGGTGGGGGTTCTCAGGGGTCGGATGGTGGAGTTGATGGGAACCAGGGGCGAATCCGACGCATGGAATCCCATGGACGACGACTAGAATTACCCATATTCGATGGCATAAATGCTTATGGATGGTTGAACAAAGTGGAACGCTACTTCCTAATCAATGGAGTAAGAGACGACAAGAAGGTGGCGGCTGTTTTGGTGGTGTTAGAAAGTGAGGCTCTCAATTGGTTCCAGTGGTGGGAGATTAACACCAAAAACGCCACTTAGGAAAACTTTCAATCGGAGCTTCTTAGTTGATTCCAACCGGAAGTGGTAGATAACCTACTACGTTCGTTGCTCACTCTGCGACAAACCGGCACCGTGACACAGTTTTGAAAGGAGTTTGAGAGGGTGGTGAGCCCCTGAGATACGAGGACGAGGAGCTGTTGAAAGGAGTATGGCTAAATGGGCTTTGCGACAATGTGAGGGAGGAACTGTTGATGCATCCCATGATTCGGCCAAGTGAAATGATGAAAATGGCGTTGAAAATCGAAAGTCAGAATCAGGCTTGGATGACGGAGGGGGTGAAGAAGCCAGGATTGGGATTGGGCTCAAGCCTAGGTAAGTCCAGTTGGACCCAAAATAATAGAAACCTAATAACTCCAGGCCCACAAACGATGAAGGGACCAAAATGCACACAAATAGACAACAAACCCTAATCCCCAAAGTTCTCAAAGTATGACTAAGCCGCAAAATGCTGAGAGCCAAGTGACTGTTGTTGGAGGTGGTGATGGCCGTCGACTGACTCAGGCAGAGTTATAGGAACGTTCTCGCCTCGGTCTCTGCTTCAAGTGCGACGAGTGATGGAGCCCTGGACACCATTGTCCAAGGTTGTCAAACTCGAGAGTCTACTCAAACTCGGAAGGGTGAACCAAAATCGTAAATCGCAGAATCGTAACATGGATCGTAGAATCGTAACACAAGATACAAATTATATTTATATATATTTATATGCATATAAAGTAATGTAATAAGCAAATTTAATTCAACCAACTAGCAAAATAATGTCATACAACAATAGTCATAATCACATAATGTCTCAAACACATAAAGTCATAGCACAAAAGATCAAAATCCTAAACAAAATATCAAATGTTTTACTTAAAATCCATATTCAGAGTTATGTTAGTTATATTAAATTTTTTTACTTAAAATTTAGGAACAGGATTCGTTTACAAACTTTTTTGAATTTTTTTACAAATTACACTATATTCTCTCGGGAGAACATAGTGTAGTTCGTAAAAGTTTGTATTCTCCCGGAAGAATATAGTGCAGTTTGTAAGAGTTTGTAAACAAAAAAGTTTGTAAATATAACCTGCCCCTAAAATTTAACATCAAATATGTTTTATTTTAATATCACAATTGATTTTTAAATAAAAAATGAGTTATTAATATAGATACATAATGTTAAATTTAACTTTTATGTATTATAAGTGTAAAATATTTTACATTCAAATTTCATATAATTATTAATACAATTGAATAAAGTAATAAACATGATTCCTTACTAATAATATACTGTGCATATTTTAGAGAGAAAAAAGTTTTAAATGAATCGAGAAACAGAGGCACAAAAAAAAAAGAAAAAAAGAAACAGAGGCAAAAAAAAACAGAAACGAAACAAAGTCGAGAAGAGATTGAGGTGGTGGTGGAGCATCATCAGCTTGCTTGTGATGCTGAGAATCTTTGTTGGAGGAGACCATCAAGTTCAAGCGCTTCATGAACTCGTCCAAATCAGCCACCTCGCATGACTCCAGGGCTCCCAAATCCTCCATGGAGAAATTGGAAGAGAAGAAAGTGGAGAAGCGGAAGGACGACGACGAAGCACGTCGGGAAGACGGTGGAGTAGGAGTCGCGCGACATCATCTCTCACTGAGCAAGGAGTTGGCGGCTGAAACCAGGTATTAGGATTTTTTGTGTTAAAAAACCCATTTATACGATGGGTTTTTCTCCATTTCCTTGAAATTGTTAAACTCGTAAGAGTTTACGAGTTTGCCAAAAAACACAGCGCTTCTTCTGTTTGAGTGCCAAAAGAGAGTTTGCAGTGAAACGGGAACGTTAAGGGTGACCAGAAGCGTAAACTCGTTCGAGTTAGCGAGTTTACTCGCGAGTTTGACAACCATGCCATTGTCAAGTTTGACAGCTTCGGTTGGTGATAATCGACAAAGAAGACGAAAGGGAAGAAACCCAGATCGAGGAAAACATAGCGACAGAGGCGGTGGTAGATGACGGGGAAGTAGCAGTGGCTGTGCAGTTGTCCATGCAAAGCCTAATGGGTCTCACCTCGAGCCAAACTATGCGTTTGTGGGGAAAGGTGAACGAAGAGCGAGTGGTGGTGCTAATCAATTGTGGTGCCTCTTACAACTTTATTGGGAGGGAGATAGCAACGCGACTAAAGCTGAAGATGGAAGACACACCTAAGTATCTAGTGGAAGTGGGGGACCGACATCGGGTTTCTTGCCAAGGGGTTTGTCCAAGGCTTGGAATAAACATCCAGGGGCAAAAGATTTGTCAAGATCTTCATATTTTTGATTTGGGAGGACGGGACATCATTTTGGGGTTGTCATGGCTTTAGAGGGTTGGTTGAAGTCAAGGTGAACTTTTAAGGAAATGATGTTGAAATACGATCAGGAAAGAAAATAAGTTGTCATCACGAGAGACGCTTCATTGTCCAGAACAATGGCGTCATACAAGTCCATTGTGAAAGCGTTGCAACATAACGACGAAGGTTTTTTGGTGGAATCGAGAAGAATCCAGTTGGAAGGCAACAATCAAGGGTGGAAGGAGCTAGAGGCATTATTAGAGGTAATGTTATCAAACCCGGACCGACCTGGGTTCTGGTGACCCGGCATATTAGAAGGGATTGCCGTCACCTTCTCTCTTCTCTGCTAAGCACGATTTTCTGCTCTGTTCTCGCCGTCGTCGGTGCTGGTTGTCGCCTTCTTTGTTCTCAGCCTTTTCGGTAAAAAAGCGAGCGGCAGAAGACAATGAAAATTCAGAACAACCATTTAAACTGAAACCAAGATCTCTGGTGACGATCTTGTAAGAAAAAATGTGGAAGATGAGAAGAGAAAACAAAAACCCTATGCTTTTCTTTGTTACCCATTTTTCCCTTCTCTGATGCCTATCACACCGAAAAGATACTGCTCTTATTGGTCAAAGAGAGAGAAAAAAAGAAGACACATTTGAGGTCGAGACATTTTGGTTCATTTTGGCTCTTTCTTCTCTACTCTCTAGAACTGCGTGTCCTTTTCTCTACTCCAAAAAGTAGCTCACGTGATACATCAGAAAGAGAATAAACTTAACAAAACATTTATTTCTTTTCATTAAATCATTTTATTTAAATAAAAATAATTATTCTACAAAATTGGAGATAACGTAAACTCGTAATTTTTTTTTGTTTAACAAATTTTATTATTAATACGTTAGCATATGTCCTTGCAACTTTTTATTGTAAGATATTAGTTGTACCCAAGTTTTGATTGGCATATAAGAATAAGGCAAGGACGTCTACCATAAAAATATTTGAAAATATACGATGAGTTCAAATAATTAGTATTTTTCCTTTTCATTATTAAAATACTATTCTCTATTTTAAGTATCAATTATTTAAAATAAAACATTGTTTTATAAAAAAGAAAAAATATATATATATATATATATATATATATATATATATATATATATATATATCCGGGTTAACCGGTCGGACCAGTGACCCAGTACCCCGACCAGGTTGATGCTCGGGCTGGGTCTGATAACACATTTAGAGGAGTATGAAGACCTCTTTCAAGTGTCAATGGTTTTGCCATCGGAGAGGAGCTGTGACCACATGATTACTCTCAAGCCAGGTAGTGTGGTCATTAATTCTCATCCATATCCCTTCTATGAAAAGACTGAGATAGAGAAATTAGTCGATGATCTGTTGAGTCAAGGCATGATTAGACATAGCATAAGCCCTTATGCAAGTCTGGTAATTCTTGTAAAAAGAAAAAAAAAAAAAGATAGGAGTTGGAGAGTATGTGTAGATTGGCATTAAATAAATGTACAATCCCCAACAAATTTCGCTTACTTGTAATTGATGAATTGTTAGCTGAATTGGGGGGTTATGTAATTTTTTCTAAGTTAGATTTAAAATCTGGGTATCACCAAATTAGGAAGAGGGAAGATGTGCCTAAAACGACTTTCAAGACCCATGAAGGCCATTATGAGTACTTGGTGTTTCCTTTTGGCCTCACCAACGCTCCTGCTACCTTCCAGGCACTGATGAATGATGCGTTGCGCCCATTTTTTAGGAAATTTGTACTGGTTTTTGGATGATGTTTTAATTTACAGCAAGGATAAACAGGAGCATGCGGAACAACTAAGTTTGTGAAGGATTATAGTAAGGCTGCCATACTTGTGAAGGGTTATGGTAAGGTTGCCAAACCCCTTACCGAGCTATCGAGGAAGGATAAATTTAAATGGAGTGAGGAAGCACAACTGGCCTTTGAGAATCTGAAAAAATTGATGAATGAAGTTCCGGTTTTGGCCTTACCGGACTTCTCCAAAGAGTTTACAGTTTGTACCGACGCTTCCGGAAGGGGAATAGGGGCGGTCCACATGCAAGGAGACAGACCAGTGGCATTTGTTAGCCAAGGGTTCTCTCAAAGGGTAATGGCTAAATCTGTCTATGAGAAGGAGCTTATGGCGACAGTGTTTGCTATACAAAAATGGCGGCAATATCTGATGGGCAAGCACTTTAAGGTGAAAACTGGTCAAAAGAGCTTTAAGTTTTTATCAGAACAATCAATGTTGACTGAGTAACAGCAAAAGTGGACTTCGAAGCTCTTAGGATTTGATTTTGAGATTGTATATCAACTTGGGAAGGAAAATAAAGTCACGGATGCTCTCTCACGCATTATGCAGATGACTTTGGTTACCCAAACTGAATGGGGCAGCATAGCTGACTTGGAGAAGGAAGTTCAGGCAGATCCTAAGCTGAAGGTTGTGGTCCAGGAGTTGGTGTTGGACCCTCAGTCCCATGAAGGATTTAGCCTGGTGGGAGGACGATTGCTGTATCAACCAAGGGTGGTGCTACCAAAGGAATCCAGATTTAGCCTCTACCCACCACAGCTGGTTCAACAACTCATCACCAACTTAAACTCTATCTTTGCTCTGAAGCAGCTTGGGACCTTGGATTATTTTTTGGGAGTTAAAAGTCAAGCACATGCCTAAGCCTAACGTGGCAGTATTCTCTAAAGCAAGTACATTCGTGATCTATATAACAAAGCCAACATGGAAGATGCAAAGGGAACTTCCATAGTGCAAACAAAGAATAGAGGATGCAAACTGACTAAGCATTGTGCTAATTATGGTCCTCTGCAGTATGCTACTTTGACCAGACCAGAAATCAGTCATGGCATTAATAAGGTCTGACAGTTTCTTTCAGAGTCTCTTGACGAGCACTAGGAGGTCAAAAGATTTCTAAGGTACCTTAAGGGTACTTTAACCATTAGCAAGTCAATCCTACCTGATTCTATCAGAAAACGACTTTCTTCCGATCTGAACGCTATGGCACCAAAAAATGTAGGATCGAACGATCCTACAATTAAAATCGTGATTTTAACAACATTGCTCAGCAGTCTCCCTTACTCAACCCTGTGCTGCACTCCCGTATGAAGCATAAGGAACTGGACTTATTTTTTGTTAGGGATAAAGTCATTAATAAGAGCCTTGTAGTCCGCCATGTCACAGGTCAAGATCAACCAGCAGACATCCTCATTAAGCCTCTCTCTACTTCCAGATTTTGTGACTTGCGGGACAAACAAAGGGTCTTGGACCAATATAACATTACTCCATTGACCTAGTTTGAGGGGGGAATTAGTAACACATGCAGTTACTGCTGCTGTCACAATTGTATTAGTTGTTGTCTGAGTCAGAAAGTTAGTTATTCAGATGGTTAGCTATTAGTTGTACCTATAAAAGACTCTCATTTAATGTTCTGAAGGCTAGGAAAACAGAAAGATTGAGAGTTTCTCTCTCAACCATCCTCTCTTTCAACATTTTCTCTCTTTCTACCACTTTCTTTTACTTTGTATTAGCAATATTCTTATTAATTTTACCGGGTTCTTTTAAAGTCATTTTAGGTGAATACTGTAGAGTCCTGTGTGCTTAATGCATGGATTATGAAAGGTCAAACAAAATGTTTACCTAAAAGGGCCTCCTGCTATGTGTAAAGTGAGATACAAACTTAAAACTTAAAAAAAATTAAAACAATAGAGGATAAGGTATCCTCCTAACAGACAAATATCATTCCAGACATTCCATGAGTACTTTTGGCCTATCGATATTATTCAGTATACTTGCCTGCTTCCCAGTAAATTCTAGAGTTCCTATGTAGTGGATTCTAGGTCATGGTCTAAAATGAAACCTAGCCTGCCTCTTTATTCCTTTCTCATTACCATTCAACATAAAAGTATTGCAGAGCAATAAAATTCAAATAACAATCTGCATCCATTGTGAACAAAGTCAATATTAATTACTTATATGACCATTGAGAAGAAAAGCTTTCCTCTAATGTCAACACCAGTTTAGAGAACCCTGTATGATGCATGCAATGTAAGTGTTTCATATGCCTGCAGTACAAAAATGGCATGACCCTGCCCTCTAAGAAACAAACAAATAAGTAATTCAATGGTCGCTATATTTGTACATATACAAGGAAAAACAGATAGAAATACCTGTACACTGCTGTCGAAACGGCATGCAGACTCCATTATGACAGAACCAAGCACACATGGCTGCTCCATCTGTTAGAACGCATTATTCCACTTGAGAATTAGGCGCCTGGATAAACAAACTGCCCTGCTCGGATTGCAGATGCTTCTCATGCAGCTGGGGTTTATGTTCTAAAGTAAGATCTTTGGGAGAATGTTGTTCGGGCTCCTGTTGCTGCTGCTCATGCTGCTCTGGTGCCTTATATGGCTGCTGAGATAGAATGGGTTGTGATGATGACTGTTGAAGAGGTTGTTGCCGCTGCTGCTGCTGCAACTGCATCCCAGAATTATGTACATGAGAAGTCGAGCTAAATGATCTTGGGCCTAACCCTTGACTAATTGTTGGGGGCTCATTTCCAGTGGGATTCCCAACAGGTGCACTCCCCAAGGAGCTCACTTGAGGGGCTTGATTGTTCGTATTGGAATCAAAAGGTGATTCTGATGTTTTCCACTGAGAAGACACAGTAGTAACAACTGGTACCATACTAGTTGAATCCATACAACCTTGAGTCATTGTAGCACTAGTACTGACCAGAGAAGCACTACACGCAGGCTGTTGATCATCTTGAGTTGGATCAGATTGAGACTTGCTTGGTGACTCGGAATTCACCTGACGGTTTTTTGGCAACATTCTCTGAACATATGATTGATTTTGATTAATTTTCTTAGACGGATGCTGAGACTGTAGCTGCAACTGATGGTGGTTAGAAGCAATAACAGCTGGCTGTGGAGGTGACAACATATGACCTGGTGAAACTTGCGAAACCTGTCCTTGAGCACTAGTATCAGAAGGAATCTGAAGTTGCTTTGATGAAGTGGTTGGCGATCCAGAATTTAGCTTCTGTTGCAATTGTGAATGGTTTGAAGAATGGACATGACTCAATGGCTTTGATGTTTGATTTGGGTTTAAACCAGATCCAGGATATATATTTTGTCCTTGCATCATGTGCATCATTTGGTCCCCTTTTTCAGCAGTTTGACTTCCCAAAGGTGTGGAGAGTCCATTTAGAAGAGAAGGATCCCCAGAGAGGTTCTGATGGACCATCATGTTTCCTCCTCTTCCAATTCCCTTTAGAAGGTTAGCATGCTGTTGAGACTGTCCACTATGCTGCTGATTAGGATGCTTCCTACCAGGCTGTTGAAACTGCTGCTGTGGTGGCTGTCGTTGCCGTTGCTTTGCTGCTTGATTGGTCAACACACTAGCAGTGGGCTTCCTGCTGAACCCATGTTGTGGGTGGTGAAGTTTCTGCTGTTGGTGCAGAGATGACATAGGAGTCAAAGGAGATGATGGTGTTACAGGTGAAAGAGGTCCTTGCTGGGATGAATTTTGTGGTTGAACCTGGGAACTGTTTTGCAATGGTGATGATGATATGGGAAGTTGAGACTGTGCCTGGACATGTGGCATCAGTGCATTTGATGCAGCAAACTGCTTCTGTTGCTGCATATATCGCTGCTGTTGCTGCATTTGCCTTTCCTTTGCCAATCGGACTGCATAGGCTTGTTGCTGTGAATTTGTAGCATGATTCGAACCTTGGAGATGAGAATGAGGATTGCTGTGATGGGACTGCTGCTGGGACAGTTGGTGTGGCAGCTGGGTATGTCCTTGATAAGGCTGAACAGGTGATGGAGTTGTCTGGTTACCAAAGGCAGAACTCATTCCAGAGAGAGCAGGAATACCTTGACTGTTCCCTTGGGTGACCTGCTTCTGAAGCTCTGGAACCATCATTTGCCTTTGATGATCTGGGTTATGGCCAGGCTAATTGCAATGGGGAAAATCATCAAATTGAAATGAAATATGATCGCAGTAAATGTTAACAAATAAACCAATCTCCTAACAGAGTCCAAGTGAGGTATTGCAGACATAGTTAAAACTAGGATGCTGAGTTGGTTGGAAAAAAAGTTTCTTAGCCACAAGTGGAAATTCCAACTATGCACATCTTTTTAATTCTTTTTTTGACATTTCCGCTAAGTTTTTATACAAAAATGGATTTTCAGCTAAAACTCTAGCAATTTGAATATAAGCTTGTGTACACATGATAAGACTCAAACACACTAAACAAAATTTATACAATCAATTAAATCATAAAAAGATGAAACAGTAACATTTCTCACCCTCATCATATGTATAGCCTCATGAGGTCTCAACATTGAGTTGCCTTGTCCAGAACCAACTCCAGACTGCATATTTACAGTGCTTGGCACCCCTATCATACTAGAGGGATGCATGCTTCCAGAATTAAGCATAGATGGCGATGCCATTCCTTGTAACCCTGGTCTACACTTCGCCATGCTTCTACTAATTCCACCCATCAAGCCCATACCATTTCCACCAGGCAGCATACGAACTCCACGATCACTTCCAGAAAGAGTCCCTGATAACGACATGCTAGACTGCTGGACGTTTCTTCCAGATAACATCTGATTATATTGTTGTATTCTCTGCTGCTCTTCCACTGATAAAGGTGAATTTCTTGGAACCCCATATCTAGTATCCCTAAAAAGAAATGCATCAATCGAGAGTAGAAAAGCAAAAGACGTTAATGCAAATTTAATTGCAAAGCAAGAATCTCCAGCAATAAAAAGCGCATACCTGACAGAGGGGGAAAGTGTACCAGATGGTGATGTTAAGTTATTGCCAAGAACCATACCAGAAGACCCTGGTAGTGAAGAATTAACCCCGGTATTAGGAAGTATTGATGGTACAGAACCTTGATTTGATAATGCCAAACCACCAGCATGAGAACCTTGATACCCAAGGGCTAGGACATCAGGGTTCGATGCATTCGTATCACAAAGATCAAGTGGCCTTCATTGAGAATTCAAACATAATTAAAATACTTGTGCCAAACAAACAAATCAGGTATACCAAAATTTCAAAACTACCGAAAAAAATAAAATAGAACTTACGTTAAAAGACCTCCATTCAGGTTGTTGGGGCAGACTTGGGAAAGAGCAATCACATGTGAATTATGGACAGGTACTAATTGTTTTAAATCCTTTTTATCAATCTGCAGTAAAACCAAACACTTTCTACTGAGAATCACGTCATAGAAACTAATGACAAAATGGACAACTTTGTTGATTTGTAATTTTCTATTGCTACAATTCTACTCCACACAGAAAATATATCCTTTAGAAATATTCAGAACAATAAGCAGTCATTTAGGTGTATTAAATCAGTATGCGATAGGAAAAAAAGGAATAACTTAAAAAAAAAGGTTGTACTGTGATGGAACCCAATTTATCAGATTAACACTAAACAGTGGAAGACTTTTTCCTTACACAGAAAACTCAATTGAAGACTCAAACAACACAGACTCAGAGAAACAAATGATACTTTCAATAATGGAAAATAATAAAAGACAACACACACAGGTGAACACTCTCCTTCTACTTGAAATAACTGATTCAATTACATAAAACTCTAAATGACTCTGATACTAATCCAGTCAGCAAATTAGTGTTGTAAGTCAATTCGTCAATTCACCTTGTTGTGAACATTGTGATGTCATGTTTCGTACCTTAAAATATGTAAAAGGAGCTCCGAGAAAATGCTTTATTTATGAAGATAAAGATCACATTCAGATTGTTAAATACTCAAATGCTGATTAGACAAGTTCCCCGACTAAAAAAAGGTCCAATTTGGGAATTGTGTTCATAAAAAATAATATAATATCATTGAAAAGTAAGAAGAAAGATGTGATCACAAGATCAAATGCCACAACAGTGTATCCAACCATGTCCTCAGCCACGTGCAAATTAATAAATTAAGTATAGTAAATTTAGTATAATAAAATTAGTAATCATAGCAATAAAAAATAGTATAATAAATTAAGTATATCTTTATGTATATTATATGAAGTTAGATATATTGGGTCTAGTATGAAGTGATGGATATTGATTGTCGTTAATATTGATTATTATTTAATTGGTAATGTAAATAATTATTTTGTAATAATAAGTTATATCAATTGTGATAATCCAGAGAAAAATAATACTAGTAAAATTATATTTATCCCTATGAGTATTATAATATTAAATGCTTTGGATTAGGATGAGTCAGCATCATCCTATAAGTCAGTCATGAGTCAACCATAAATCAACAATATCCTATCATAAGCCCATAAGAAAACTAAAAAGAAAGAAATCCTAAGAGGAAAAGGAAACAAATAATTCTAGGAAGAAAGAGGAAAGAAATTCTAAGAAGAAAAAGGAAACAAATGCTTATAGGAAAAAAAGGGAAACAAATTCTTTAAGGAAACATTTGCAACAAAGCGCATAGTCTAACAAAACCAAATCATTTCTAATTCCCAACATCTCTCCATTTCTCTTCTCTTCTTCTCATATTCTCTTCTTCTCTTTCTTCTTAATTAAAATTTTATTTTATTTTGAATTATTATTTCTTCTCTTCCAAAGAATTCATTAATCACGGAGACCAGGTAATTCTAATCCCTAGGTGATCTTAGATTAGTTTTGTATGAAAAATTGTATATCATGATCCTTAGGATATCATAGGTAATTTTTAAAATTTAAATTACTACATGTGATATTTAGAGTGTTTTTGGAAACTTTATTGGAAAAATAATAGGATTATTATTTTGGGAATAAATAGATGATGAATAATTTACAATATTTGATTAAATGATATAAAAATTATATGCGAATAAATGTGGATATTATGATTATGAAAAACTTTCCAAACATGTGATTTATGATTGAATTTGAAATTATGTGTGATTGTGATTAATTAATAATGGGAAGATAGTGTTTGGGATGATACCTCCTAAAGTGATAAACACAACCTTTGGACTTTATGCCTTCGATATTTATATGATGTGAAAAGATGTTATCCATTTTTCTCAAAGTGGTATCTGGCAGGGTATCCCGGGGTACTAGTAGCAACTTTGGAAAGAGGTGTGCACACTAGGAAGAGATGTTTTGATGATGGCCAAATTTGATTATATGTCATTGGCAGGGTTTCTCGGGTCACAGGATAGACTGATAGAGTTTACCATGGTTCTCTTCCCACTAGTGAACTAAATAAAGATAAATATAATGAATAATGAAATTAATATTTGATTTGATTATTATGTTTAAATAAAGATAAATATGATGAATAATGGAATTAATATTTGATTTGATAATTATGTAAATATTTGAATTATATTTTGGATTGGGATTACCAGCTTTTGCTGATTGTTTGTCTTTGTGTTTGTGTGCTGCAATGATCCTTCGAGGGAGCAGATTTTCAGTAAAGCAGGTTTCAAAGGTTGGGGCTAGCAGGTAGCAGTAAGAATAACGATTCGCACATTTCAAGCTAGACTTAGGATTTAATAAATGTATGAGATATTTATAGATTTTGGATTTACATTTTAAATTTTTAAATATTTACATCGAATATATTTTGGAATAAAATTATGATAAAGTTAGCTTTGCACTTGTCCCTATTATAGGTGTGGCGGTAATATTTCCCCAAATCAGTTATAGATTAGCTTTCGCAGTATTTATAAGATCCTAAATAATAATTAAATGTGAATTTTGGCAAATATATTATTACAAAAATGTTTATAAAAATTGTTAGAAATTTGGGGGTGTTACATTACCCAAATGAAATCAGTTTGTGATAACCAAATTGCATTGCACATTGCCTCTAATAGAGTGTTTTACAAGATGATCAAACATATTGGGATTGATGGTAACTTCATTCACTACACATTGCCTCTAATCAAGGTTTCATGATATGATCAAACAAATTGATTTTGATAGTCACTTCATTAGAGAGAATATTATTTGAAGCCATTGCCACTAGTTTTGTCTACTTCAGTGATCAACTTGCATATGTTTTCACTAAGCCTCTGAGAGGCCCTTACATATGTAAAAAGTTTGGTGCATATGATTTTTTTATATGCTCCAGCTCTTGAGGAAGTGTAGGTAACTGCAGGTAAGAAAGTAAATCATATCTTGGCGATTATGTAAATAGGATAGTCAGAATTTTGTAATTATGGAAATTAGGGTAATGTTGGTAAAGAATTTATTTTGTATTTATTATGTTTTGGCTATATAATCCTGTAGAAAATCTTTCTGCTTTTATTTCCTATTAATTAGTGATTGATTTTTTCCTTTAATAGGAATTTGATAGGGCTGATAACTCATGTTGAGCCATTCTTATCCATTTTTTTCTCATTTACTATTATTTAAATACCCCCTATCAGTGTAATTCAAATGTATCAATTTAGAAAACCTTTTTTTTTCATATTTCAATATGGTATTAAGAGCTAAGTTTTGTTCCATCCATAAAAAACCCTAGGCCAGCTCTAAAAATCAAAAGCCCTTCATTTTTATTTTATTTTTTCAATTATGTCTCAGCCAAACACGCATTGTTGCTACCGGAAACACTGTTCGCGCACTATTCACGTTGTTCGCCAGAGACACTGTTCTTCGAATCTCACACAATTTGTTCTACTATTCTCAAGCCATTTAGAAATTCCTTTCAACATAAAAAAAAACCCATTGTTCTTCACTAAAAAAACCCAAACTTGTTGTTTATTGTCGAAATCTTCATCTGCTAAGGCCGAATCACCAAAGTGAGGGCACCAGTCACCACAGAATCAAATTCTAAGCAGAAGCCAGCTGGTGGTCACCACAGTCAGAGCCTTCGGAAAATTTTTCCGACGGCTTCTGTTTTTCCTGGCAACTTTTTTGGGTGAACTTTTTTTTCTCTCAGGGCTTCACCTGTCTCTTCCGCTACGCCCAACACACAGTCATCTGAAAAAAGTTTGGCATTGCAAATCACAAGCTGTGTGGCCCTACAAGGTATTGCATTTCATGTCCACAATAACACTCGTTGGATTCTTGGTTCTGGTGCATCCGATCACATGACAGGTGATCCAACATTGTTTTGCTCTTACACTCCATGTTATTAGACTTCTCGAGTAAAACTAGCAGATGGAAATGTTTCACAAATCGCAGGAAAGGGGTCAGTTAAACTTTCTGAGGATATTACATTGACTTCTATTCTACATGTGCCGACTTTGGCGTGTAACCTCATTTCTATTAGTAAATTCACATCTGAGCTTGATTGCATTATAACGTTCTCAATTCATAGGTGTGTTTTTTAGGAACAAGGCTCCGAGCGGATGATTGGCAGTGCTAGAGAGGACGGAAGAATTTACTACTTTGAGGAGCTAACTCTTGTGAAGACTCAAACTGCCTTCGTGGAAAGCCGCCTCCCTAGTTTTCTTTCTGATTCTAGTACTAATGCAATGTTGTGGCAATGTAGATTAGGCCACCCCAATTTTTATTATCTTCAAAAGATGTCACCAAATATTCTTTGTACTAGTAATGTCAGTTCTTTCCATAGTTATCAAATGCGGATTGCGGCATGTCGCGGCCAACCCTGAAAAACGCTATAGCGTTATAGCGGGTTGCAGTTGCGAAAATAGCGGAATAGATATATGACAGAAATAATGACAAAAAGAAACATTTTTTAAAGGCAGAGATAGTAAAAGTGACAAAGAGAGACGCGGATAGACTAAAAATCCCTTAAATTTTTTCTGTTACACATTTAAATTTAGGACAAAGTTGACATTTTGCCTTATGATAGCAATATGGCCGCAAATGTGATGGCAATGGCCGCTATTGCGTTCCGGTGTGGCGCGGCGCGGTTTCTTGTAGCGAGGCACCGCAATGCCCATACGGCGTGGCTCGCGACGCTATTGCGGCGCAATTAACTACTATGGTTCTTTCTCTTGTGATATTTGTCCACTCGCAAGACACTCGAGTCATATCCTCCCACGGCTTATAAAGAATCTTCCCTTTTCTCCCTCATCCATAGTGATACATGGGGACCATCTCGTGAAAAAAACATTTCTGGTGCTCGGTGGTTTATCACCTTCATGGTTTATCAACAAGTACAAGGCAAGATTGGTAGCAAAAGGTTTCACCCAAACATATGGGATAGACTATCAAGAGACATTTGCCCGAGTAGCCAAGCTCAACACTGTCCGAGTTCTTCTGTCCTTGGAAGCTAATCTTGATTGGCCCCTACAGCAGTTGGATGTGAAAAATGCATTCTTGAATGGTGACCTACATGAGGAAGTGTACATGGATCCTGCACCCGGTTTTGAGAAAGGAGTTGGCCAAGTGTGTAATTTGAAAAAGTCTCTCTATGGGCTCAAACAATCTCTTAGAGAATGGTTTGAAAAGTTCACTCAAGCAGTCAAGAGGAAGGCATTCCTACAGGCACAAATTGATCATACCCTCTTCTACAAGCACTCTAAGGATGGTAAGTTTGCTATTCTTATAGTTTATGTGGATGATATAATTATTACAGGTGACGATCATGAAGAGCTAGATTCCTTAAATTATCTAGCAAATCAATTCAAATTGAAAGACCATGGAGACCTCAAGTACTTTCTTGGCATGGAAGTGGCACGAAGTAAGATTGGGATCACTATCTCCTAGAAAAAATACATCCTAGACCTACTTCAAGAAACAAGCATGTTGGGATGCAAACCAAGTGACACCCCTATGGAACCCAACATTAAGTTATGGATCAAAGATGGCAAAGAAGTAAATAAGGAACAATATCAGAGATTGGTTGATAAACTGATGTATTTGTCTCATACCCAACCTGACATCGCTTTCGTTGTAAGTATGATCAGCCAATTTATGCACTCACCAAAGGAGAAACATCTTAAGGCAGTTTACAAGGTCATGAGGTATATATCAAAAATACACCTAGTAGGGGACTCTTCTTTAACAATGGATACAACAGGATGGTTGAAATCTACACTGATGCTAGTTGAGAGAAAACCTACTTCAGGATATTGCGATGTATGGGGCAACCTGGTAACATGGAGAAGTAAAAAGCAAAATTGTTGTTGCGAGGAGTAGTGCCGAAGCAGAATTCAGAGAACTCGCTCATGAAGTCTATAAAGGAATTTGGCCAAGAAAACTTTTTGAAAAATTGAAGATCTGCTATTCTCTACCCATAAGGCTATAATGTGATAATAAGGCAGCTATAAGCATTGCTCAAAATCCAATTCATCATGATAGATGGAAGCATGTTGAAGTCGATCGTCACTTCATCAAAGAAAAATTAGATGATGGAAGTGTGTGCATGACATACATACCCACCAAAGAACAAACTGCTGATATCCTCACCAAAAGTCTGCATAGACTAGCATTTGAAGATCTGATTGGCAAGTTGGAAATGATCAATATCTATCTCCCAACTTGAGAGGGAGTGTAGAAAATCTTCCCGCTTTTATTTCCTATTAATTAGTGATTGATTTTTTTCTTTAATAGGAATTTGAATTTTGAATTTGCTTCTATAGATAGGATAGGGCTGATAACTCATTACTGAGTCATTCTTATCAATTTTTTTCTCGTTTACTCTTGTATAATTACCCCCTATCAGTGTAAATTAAATGTATCAATTTTAGAAAACCTTTTTTTTCATATTTCAATAAATCCATTATCTGATACATAGTTTAGACACACGGATTTCACCAAATGTCTCTCTTTCTCTCCTTCCTTAGCAAAACTGTTGGCTCTTGAAGTGGTATTTATACCACTAAACGGAATTCTCATTTTGAAGTTGCACTAACCAAATTCCATTGTTCATTAGAAGCACTAAAATTAACCATCTATCATTGAAGTTTTATTATCTCAAATAACCACTTATCATCTTATTAAACCACTAATATGAGTGGTTAACATAAAATAAAAATAAAAAAGACAAACTTTGGTGCACAAGGCTCCCAACTTACGAGACAAGGGGTGAAAGTCGATTTTACGCAACCTTATCCTTGCATTTTTGCAAAGAGGTTGTTTCTCAGACTCAAACATGTGACCTTCCAGTCATAAGAAACAACCTTACCGCTCCAAGGCTCACCCTCTACTAGTTAACATACAATAAATTCCAATTTTAAATGTCACTGCATAATAGAATCTGTTCCGACATAAATGCTTTGGATTCACACCTGATTCTTAAGGTAATGTTGCTTCTGCCCAATGTTTATAATTTTCTCAAAATGAGACTTCAGGGTATCCTCTTCCTTTGGCCCTTGCAAACGTTGAAACAACTGCCTGGCACTACCCTGCAGAAAATACAAAAGAACCAATCAAAGCTGGAAACTGTAGGACAACCATGAAGTTCTCCTAATATGTCCAAATATAATAAATGATCAAAAAATTAAGAAAAACATTTCATGCCTTAGGAATTCCAGGTAAAGTAGAAGGGTAAGATTGTGGAGACCCTAAATCTTCAGCGCTATCTGCATCATCCCCAGCATTTCCATCCATTAAAAACTTATGACGCTCCTTGCACTCTTTTGGATTGCGAAAGATACACTGGAAATATTGTAAAATGTCATGCTGTCAATGAAAATGTAATTAAATCCCAAATAACACACCAAATTAAAAATAAAATAAAATACAGCAGTTAAAGCTTCATAATGACACAGCATTACAAAATTTAAAAAATATGACAAATGTACACCAAAGTTCTCCCACTTGCTAAAATTTTGTTCATACAAGTTATATGATAGCTGTTATCCTATGAAGCTGGAGGTGCAACAAGTGGCAGTCAATGATAAGATCTTTTAAGTTGAATGATTTTCAGTAATGTATAAAACAGGTCCTGCAACTGTGGCACATTTCTTCTTACACCATATTTGCATATTATTTACCTTGATTTGAAGAGTACTGTTGATAGCATCACTCACAAGCTCCCAGTTTGGACCCATATCATGCACCAGGACAACAAGAGCCTGAAACCGGTAGGACAGTAAGGATAAGCCTTTTACATGAGTATTGAAGTTTAAATATTTATTACAAGTGCAAGAAAAAAAATTGAGACAGCTAATGATCTCCAAAAAACCTGATCTTCAAATAGTGACCAAGGACGTCCAGAACCAGGCTGTCCAGCAGAAACCTATTAGGAAAAAAAATAATAAAAATATAAACAAATCGGCAAAACCACATAAGAAAATTTGCCAGCATATGATCATCTAAGTTCACACCAAAATTACCTTCAGTGATTTAGCTTTCCGGCCCCTATCTCGCACATTAATGATCTTAATAAATTTACTAGGATTGGGCATGTTACTCATTTGCGAAGCAGCTGGGGAAGGAATAGAATTAGTCATTGAAGCAATATTGTCCAAAGCATTATCAAGTGATTGCTTCATTATCTTAGGCTTCTTCCCATTATGTTGCCCGTACAGACCTACAGAACAGGACAGTTGAATATGTAAAGCATGAAGAAAACAGAATACTAATTGTATATAAAACAAATATCTAGAGCTATAATCAGATAACAAGTAGTTTTACCACTACTTCCATAAGATTCAAAGTGATGATAATCCAGTCTCTTCTTGGAATGATCTTTCTGCATTGAGAAAACATCACCAGAACAACTAATTAGAAAATAATAATCATAAACAGAGTATACAATATAGTTAAAAATACCTACAGAGAGTAGGGGATTTAGGTATTATCCTAGGTTCAAATTAATATAACTTTCAAATGTACCAACCAAAAAAAAAAGACAAGACACACAATCTTCTGATGTAAAACCAGATTTATTTAAAATAATTCAATACAAGCTCCCAACTAGTGCTATCAAACCCGGCTCAGACCAGCTGGATCAGCTGGGAAAGCCATATAACTAGTTCGGGTTGCACAATAAATAGGACATGTATGTGAACAGGCATGAGCCAGTTTGACTTGGCCGGTTTATTAATAAACCAGTGGACCGGTCAGTTCACAAAAAACAAGGTCATTCATTAAAACAAATGAAACAACATCTTCCTGTCTGACAGCTTGGTGCTTGTTCAAGAGAGACATGCAACATGGTGGTGGGGCTGTCTAGTTGAAGTGGATGCAGAGACCTTTAATGGATGTCCACCGAGAGAGGTGGATATATTCACTTGATGATGGATAGACCAGCAAACTTCAACGGATGATGGTGGAAGGGATTTCTCTCGGTCACATGAATCATCTATCACTGGTTGTCGTCCAATAGGGAAATTACGATGCTTTGCTTCGGATCTAAGGAGCTTGTGGAGGAATGAAAACCGAGTTGAGTCATTGCGACAAGGGTGACTTCTTTGATGCAATTTCTAAAACCAACGGCAACTCTACCTATGGTAGTTTTGATTTGGGTGATGGAGGCTATGGTTTTTTGTGAAGTAGGAGCAAATAAAGTTAGAGGGTGTCTTACTTGGGGGAAGGTAGTAAAACAAGATTTAATAGAGAGGGATATAGATTGGCGGACGGTGTATCTTAGGACGGAATGGAGAAAAGCTATAAGCATGGTGGAGGGGTAAAACCGTTTTTACTCCTATGTTCCAGACGATCCCTTTTTAGTCCTTTTTCTCTTTATCTCCCCCCTCTCTTTTATTCCATTTTTCCTTTCAATCATTTTATCTTACCTATTTATTTTTGTGTTTTTCTTTTTCTTTATTCCCTATTTCCTTTTTATGTTATTTTTTTTATTTTTTTATCTATTTATTTTTTATTTTTTATTTCTTACCTTCTTATTCTTTTCTGTCCCCTATATATCCTTATTTGAATTTGAATTTAATTTATTTTTCTTTATAATTGTTTACTACTTTTGTATGGATAATATATATATATATATATATATATACATAAAAGTTTATTTTTATCATTTTTTTTTCTTCAATCTTTCCGTACCTTTTTTTTTGGGTTTCTCTGCCACCTACCTCAACTAGTTTGGAATAATGGTGTTATTGATGTTGTTATTATTATCTATGTTGGTTTATGTTATAATATTTCTTTTTCAGATTTAGTATGAATTTTTATATATATATATATATATATATATATATATATATATATATATCCAGTTCAACCTCGTTGAACTAGGAACCCAGTACCCCGGCCGAATCAGTATTGAGACAGAGTTTTATAACATTGCTCCCAACTCAACCCACAATACTTTATTTGGGATAAAATTAGGCATTTGGCTTCTATCTGCTGCAAAAGCACATGGCCTTTATAAAGGGGTTTGCCTAGTAAATATGTATAGGGACTGGGCAGCTTTGTGTTCGTAGCAGGGCCCCAAATTAGGAAAGTGAATGAGAGAAAAATAAGGGTGCACCTAATAATCTAGTTGGGCCAGGTCTTGTTAGTAATAATAGTTAGAGTTATTGATATTGTTAAATATATTAGATATAGTCAAATGATATTAATGATATTGTTAGATATAGCAGATAGAGTTACCAGATATTAATTAGAATTAACCACTGTATCTAACATGGTTAATTAATATTAGTAACTCTATATACAATATCTGACAATATCAATTAAAATCGTGTAACTCGATCTACTAAATCTAACAATATCAATTAATATCAGGTTACTTTGTATAACATATCTAACAATATCAATAAATATACAGTAACTTTATCTATCTAACAATATCAATTAGCTCTATTATTAGCAACAAGGCTAGCCCAACTAGATCATCGGACCAACCCATATTTCCCCTCACATTAACCTCTAAAACAGTTTGGGATAAAGGTATTACTGATTTTGATTCACCTCTAAAACAGTTTGGGATAAAGGTATTATCGATTTTGATTCACCTCTTAATCAGTGTCAATCTAAAATTCTATCCAAGAAGGACTTTGCAGAATCCTGATACGAACCTTGGGAGAATCTCACCCCAAAAGCTAGCTCATAAGGTAGGAGAGCCTAAAGCCCATACAAACCCTGCACCAGAACCTTATATTTTCAATGTGGGACTCGAAATCCCATACCTTGCAATTTTATCGTAACATCTCACCACGCTCCACAGCCCCGGCGCTCACGTGGCCTGGCTTTGCGCTAGTCTTTTACTAGCCCAAGGCCAAACACTGCAATGCCAATATTGCGGTTGGGAGACATAGTGGAAGACTTAAATACCAATTAATACGAAACTTGGGAGAACCTCACCCCTAAAGCTATCTTATAAGGTAAGAGAGCCCAAAATCCATATAAACCTCACACCAAAACCTTATATTTCCAATGTGGGACTCCAAGTCCCATATCTCGCAATTAAATCATAACAAATCCCCACCATCGAAACGAAGAAAGGGACTGAACCTTCATTGGTACCATCACCTCTTGTATTTTTTCCCCGTCCACTACTCCTTTGAGCTCAAAAAAGATCTTCACTTTGATCATCAATCCATTTGCGTCCTCTCCCCCTCCCTCCATAAAAAAGGAGAAAATCAAGCTTCCTCCATCAATCTTCTTCGACTTCTAATATTGAACCCACTATCTACCCATTACTCAACCCATCTTCTGCTCCTTTGTTAGACCCATGCACTAAACTGCTATTTCTCGAGGAATTTGTGCCTCTGAATAAATGCCAAGATAAACCTTCCAACATCTCTTCAAGTTCCTTGAATTTTTCGGTCCCTTCTTGCTTGGACCCAATCCTCTTTAATGCTTTTCATCCTAGAATCCTCTTTCCAAGAATTCCAAAAGGGCTTCCATTGTATGCACAATGAACAACTTCGTGAAGTTTTAATATGAGAATATATGACCACAACATCTTGGTTGCAATGGCCGCCTCAACCACAGTAGGCTGTAATTGTAGACAGCATCAGCCACATTGACCTGCATCAGCCTCCAACACAACCACTACTTCAAATTTTACGCCTGAACTCCCTAAACAGGGAAGTCTTATACCAGTCAATATGACCATAGTTATTAATTGTTGTTAGCAGCCCACCCCAAAAATGCTATAGCAGTATAGCGAGTAGCAGTATAGCCCCTACAATGAAATCCATTTATATTGGGTATAATAGGCACTAACTTAAATTAGATAAGTATAATTAACTTACAAAAATGGTAACTAAACTTAAAGGATCAGTATACTTACCTTAAAAAAATATTATTGAGTAACTATAATCTATACATCATAATTAACACATTATCACTTTAAATTAAAACAATTATGTAATATAAAATATATAAAATAATATATCAATTATTAATTTAATATTTTCACAAAATTTACCTAACATAATATGCACTAGAAAATGGAGATCGAAATTGAGTCAGAATATGAGATGTTTTTTGGCCTTGGCTTGCTGCAAAATGAGTGAGAGAAAGAGATACCGAAATATTCCTTAGCTTCACTGAAGATTGAAACAGTCCAAGAGTTCATAATATTTCTTTGCTTCCCACTGGATATGAAAACAGAATCAAAGAGCAATGGAAATTGTTCCATAGTCGAAGAGATTGTACCGTAAGCTTGCTTGAAATGGGAGAGGGAGTTTCCGGAATATGAGAAAGAGAGAGACTGAAATAGAGGCGGATGCCGGAGACAGAAATTTAGAAGGAAAGTGTCGAGATGGAAAAGTTTGTCCATTATACCCTTAAAATTAAATGGTTAGACTATTTTACCTTTAAAATTTCATCTCCTTCATCGAAGCCGTAAAATCGTGCCCCTAATACTGCAAACCGCAACTTGAGAAAGCGGCCGCTGCGGCTGCTACCGTAAATAGTAGCATTGCGTGCGAATTGTTGTGGCTGGGTGCCACTAGCCGCTACCAGTGCATTATAGCGTGGATAGCACCGCTATTTGCATCTATGAATATGACTAAGCTATAATTGAGATAAATGATGTAATCTTTATTGATAGAACAAAATGTCTAAATTGGTATCAAGGTGATAACAAACAGTGATATCGAACTATATATAGAACATAGGACTATAATCACTCCTACTCTTACTCTACCCTAACTTCCTCTCTCAATCCATCAATAACTGTCCTAACTAACTCCTCACCTCCCCTTTTATTTCTATTTACACGTGTAAACAGTCCCCTTCTCTCTTTTCTAATTACGTGTGGTCCCTAACATTGACCTTTTCTTCTGCAAGCCCAAGATCCAAAAAATATTGCTTGGCCCAGCCCACAATAACCAATGAGTTATTAAAATTAAATCCAAGTCTAGTGGAAGTTTAACAGCAATAGCTTCACATCATATATCCAGAATGTGAATATTCTTGCCAAAATAGAGCTATCATGTTAATTATACATACTTATAAATACAGCTTACTCATGCCAAATACACACGGTCAGTGATTCAAATTTTGTTTCATAATGATGAAAAGGGAAGATTGCTATTGCATTAATGAAATTTCATTTACAAAAAGTTACCTGTTCATTTAGAACAGAATCCAACTGCCATCCCTGATCATATGCAGAACCCTGTAGAAATAATTGTTACGAAAATACAATTCCAACTTTAATAAAAAAAGGGTGTTGTTTTTCTCCTGTTTGTTGGAGAAAACAACATTTACCTACAGACTCAAACTTCAAGTGGGACCCACCACTAAAGAAATTTAAAAAATAAACTCAACAAAAATTTCGATGAGTCTATAGTAGGAGAGTTCAATTTTCCTGTTGCATAAGAATTGATTTTCCCATAAAAAAAATACCCATACATGTTCAAAAATAAGTATGCCTTAGAGTAATATATATACAAATTGATGATTACCAAAATCTTTGCCTTCTTCTTCTTCTTTGTTTTAATGTATGTTTCTGCACAGTCATAAGATAACCGCTTTTCAAAATCTGTTACTGACTCCACCTCCATACTTTTCTGGATCAAGGGTCCAACATGTGAAGTACTCTGGTCATCGTGAAAGGAATTGGTATCTCCGCTCGAAGCATCTGTCTTGGCTTGTGATTGTAGTGTCCCGGTGTTGACTGTGAAAGGACTTACAACTCTATGTCTAGTGGTTGTACGCATGCGTTTTGTTGGTATTGACCCAACATTTAAGCTAGCAGGCCTTTTTTCAAATAGCATGGATGGTCGAGTTCCAGTTGTGTACTGTACATAAGGCAAATCAGTCCTAGCATCACCAGAATAAAACTTCAAGTTTTTATGTTTCTTCAGCACAGATTTTGATGACTTGCTACAGTCACTAGGCAAGTAATAAGCGCTGGTTTCTCCTTCTTCCTCGTCATATGTATTCTCTTCAGACCCAAACTCTACATTTCAATTTATAAAAAGAAAATTGTAACAGGTTCCAGACTAACCAACAATGCACTCAAAAATCTGAACGTAAGTAGTCTCAATAGTACCTGCTGCAGTATCATATACAGATGTTTCAAGTTCCTCTTGAATGCTACTCCCAGTTTTCTGAAAAATTTTAGTTCATTGTCACCAATAAATTAAAATAAAAGATAATAGAAACATGTTCACATTCAAATTTCAACCAGTAAGACTAAAACCTCATTCCCGAAACAGCTATACCATCCAGGAGGATATAAAAGACAGTAAATGGAGTATCTTTGATCATAAAGTTACCTCGTACTGTAGGAAATGAAATTCAACAGATTTTCTGTATGTTTCCATCCCGGAATGAGGAACTTCATAGAAGAGGCTTTCCTATAATTTTGAAATGACATGTGAAATAGTTATTTGCTTACATCGATTATAATATATTCACAAAAATCATCTATTAAATCATAAATTAGATTAAAAGGTCACATCCAATGGACTTCAAAAACAATATAGGATTTAGCTAACATCATGTCACAAATGAACATGTGACACACACACGCATGGTAACTTAAAAATAAATATTTTAACCAGAATCAAACAGTAACTTGTCTCATACTTCATTTAGATGCTCCTCCCATGACATGTCCACAGTGCCTGAGTCAAAATTCTTGTCAGGTGTTGCTGGTGCTTCTGCTTGGGAGGAAATCCCATGAGATCTACTATCCTTTAAAAACCTTAAAGCATACGCATGAACTTTCAGTGCTGTATGTTTTATGGGATTTTGTCCCTCCAAAAATTTGCTTGTGTCCTGACCAAAACCACCAGCATTCAAGTATCAATAACAAAATAGCTAAAAACAATGGTGTACCTTAAGTAGCACCATTTGACTTCCAAGTTAATGATTTCCTGACAGCAACTAATTAAACAGGTTAAAAAAAGAAGAAACCATAAGAGTGAAAACCTAGCAAAACATTGACCAAATTCATATATTAGGTTCCTTTTGTAGATAGAGTAAAAAAGGACAACGAAAATAACCTGCATCACATTGCTATTTCTTCTTTGGTCCTCAGAAGCTTCATTTGCATCAACTTTCCCAGATTCAACAACACAGCTAATGTCAGGCTCATCATTGTCTAGACGAAGCTCAGCTGAATCCCAAAACTGCATGACAGCCTTTGCAATCCTGTGAGCCAAAATTTTTACCCCCTTATGTTTGTCTAGTTTTTCAAATCTTAACCGACAATTAAAAGCTGCTCGATGACCCAATTGTGCAGCAGCAGTTACCTTCCAAAGACGCTCCTATAAATACATTTTTGGGGGGAAAAAAGCATTTTAAGAGTCAAATATAGAAATTCAATTAAGGTTTGGTAACTTCCCAGCTTGTAAAAGAAAAAGATTTGTGCAGAAGGTATGGGGGAGCACAATATCATTAAAAGGTTTAAAAGATAAAACCTGTGCAAAATCATTTGCCAGCCATGCCATTTCCTCAAGGACAAAACCCCAGTGTGCCTTTATGTGGTTCCATGTGGGTAATGTGCAAATAGATAACTCCAAAATTCTCTTCCGCTTGGCCTGTTTAGTGTATTATGGTGTCAGACCTTAAAAGTTTACTGAACAAACATCCAAAATTTGACAAAAAATGTACACATTAATCACTACAACTGGAAATAGAAAATGGAGACCTCTATAATTCGAGCTTCTTCCAAAATAGAATCTTCATGAGCTCTGTCTGCTAACTTCATATGGTGCGCAGGACATGGTTGACAGTCAGAGGTCGCATTCGTAACCTTTACAGCCGGAGCAGTCTCAGGAGGTTCTGAAATTGACACATCCACAGAAACCTGATGTTTTTCACAGCTGTTTTCCTTGACAGATTTGGAATGATCCAACAAGACAGTATATTTATCAGCTTTTGATATGGTACTGTCGTTTTGATGCACTCCCTCGATATTTGACATGCAAGAGCTGTTAAGATTGATATCTTCCTCGGCTTTGACAATATCACCACTACCAGAATGATTTTGATAACCAGCATCATGTTCATTGCTAACAGTAGTACCATTTGCACTTATGGTCTTATTCCTATCTTTCACAACTTCACAACCAGCAAAGTTTAGTTTCTTCTCTAATGCAAATGTTTGCTGCATAGTATTTCCATTAGCATCAACCTTCTTTGTATTAGTACATATATCACTATCATTATTTACATCTCTACCTAAACTAGTTTGTGTGCGGGAGGGCTCTGAATAGAAATTCTTCAAGCCCAATACAGCAATGCTATTTTGGCATTCATTTGGTACACTTTTCCTGTCTACTTCTACGTTGTCAAACCCATTTGGCTGGCCATAATACGTTCCATTTTCGGGTTTTATAGTAACTACATGAGGTGGAGGCTCATGATTGACTGGAGCTACAGGCTCCCTTACTTCAACTACATTAGCTTCTCCAAAAGCCATGAGATCTGGGTTTTGTACAATTTCATGTTGAGAACGTAAAGTTTCATGACTTTCTTTTAAGTTTCGATTCAGGATAATGTCCAATTTATCTTCGGGAACACTAGCACTGCCACTAGTGGATTGATGATCTCGGATCCCAACCAATTCATTATTCAATGTATTAGTTGACAGATTCTTAGTAACAATATCACCATTTAAACTAGTAGGCTTTGGCTTAGAAACAGAAGGTATATTATGGTCCTTTTGGTTATTTGTTTCAGAGATTAACCCCATCCCTTCCCTTGAAGCTCCCCGAGGACCATGATTTGGTCTGGATCTGTTCCTTCGCGTATATGGCCGGAAAATAGCAGAATCTTCAGTCTCCTTAGCATTTTGACTTCCATCAATTTGAGAAGATTGTTCTGATGGAGCAATAGCATTCCTTGTATTTGAATGCAGGCACCTTTTTTCACTTTCAGGCAACTCATTTTCACCATCAAAAAGTAGGAGATTATCAGCAGTATTAGGTTCATTAACCGAAGGAGCCCCTGGTCTAGCACTACTGTCAACCGAGTCACCATGAGGGGAGGCAGCCAATGCAAAACTATCTTTTCTTTCACTGAGATCATGTTAAGAGAGAAAGGACAGGAGAAAGAAGCAATCGAGAATCATTAAGAAAATTAATACACAAAAAAGATAATCATGGACAGTAGCACACATACATGTGAGTAACACAAGGGGAAATCAAGATATGAAAAGCCAACCTGGTCACAAACTGCTCGTGATACTGATCAGCGAGTGAAGTAGACTGGACACTAGCTGAAACAGCATTCCCAGACTTGAAGTCTAGAGGATTCCCACCCTGCACTTACAAAGTACATGTGACCATCATTTACATTAAAGTATTGTGGGATATAAAGTGAAAAAGATCAAAACTTTCATACTTTTTCAAGAAATTCTAGTTCTCTTCTTCTTTCTTCACGAACATCATACTCCTCTCTGATATCAATATGCAATAGTAAAGCATAAGAATGGATTGGCAGTGAAAAACATAATTAAACATATAATGCAACCTCATGAAGGGTTTTCCCATCACCTAAGCTCTGCTTGAGCTTTCTCAATTGCTACCCGGTGCGGAGAGATCTTCAGACCTATACCAACTCCACCGTCAACCACTCCTCCCATGGAATCAACCTCAGCATTTACAATGACAGCAGATCCTGAGTTATATCCATGCATTCCCAACCCCTAATATCTAAGACCTTCACTTCCCATCCATTAATGAATCTGCCAAATTTGTGAAGAAAAAAGGGCAAAGAAGGCATAAAATACAAAACAACTCCTAATTATATTAAAAAAAATCATTGAAATATTCAGAAACAAAGACTTCCCATTAGTCAAACATTAGAATGTTAGTATGTTAACACTATTTGATAGCAATACACAACGTAAACCGACATGAACTGAAATAAATTAATTAATTGTTCCGAACAGGATTTTGACCCTAGGCCCAAAGGCAAGGAAGCATGCAGTTAAGGGACTAGCAACCTCGGCCTCACCAATTAGTTAATGCATATTTCTGTAGAATCTTTAGAGAATCAGTTATAAAGGATCACAATCCTTGATATCCTCTCCCGATCAGTTGTCAAGGGATAGAAGAATCTCTCTAAATCCCATATTGACAATCAATTACTTTCTAAGCAAGCATCTCTCCACTGTATAAAAGGGACTAGGCCCTCAGGTACTGGATCTAACGTGGACTTTTAGCCTCCTAATACATATACTAACTCAAGTGTCCAAGTGCCTTTGCAATTACACCCTCACTGCTCAGAACAGCCACACCCGGAGCCTCTAGCAACCATCAACAGTCTTGCCCAAGGTCAGGTAACCTCCAACCCCAAATCTTGGCAGAACATAAATTTACAAGAAAGATGCTCTTTAAAAAGTTTGAAATAGGTGACCTGCTTTTCATTAGGTTTTAGTTCACTATCTATTAAAGTGGACTAGACTTTACTCAAGGCAAAACCATTTAATTAGGATGTCAAAAGGACCAATGGTCGTGACATTCCTTGTTGGCTATATATAAAAAGGGGAAGGATGTAGAACTCTAAAGACCTAAGTTATGCAACTATTATGTATCAGGAAGGAAGAAAATCATGGCATGTTTATATTTTGAAATGCAAGCTAGTGTATTTCCGCAGTTGAATGAAACAAAAAATCAAGATGATCATAAGTCAGAAGATAACATCATTATATTTAAAGCAAGGGTATCAGATAACAATTCAAATCTTTAATTGCCAAACTAATTTTGAATTGTGAATCGTATATCATATTGAATCGTAAGATTCAGAAAGACAACAAAAAATAGCTTGAAATATACAACTTAAATTATGAATAATGCTCAATATAATAATTTTTACTATGAACTACAAATAGAAAAAACAACTTAAGCACTATCACAAAACAAAATCTTAATCATAACTGAGTCACATAACGTGACTGCATACATGTTTAAGAAGGAAAAAAAACAGAACAATGATAAAGCCAAATGTGGTAAATATAGAGCAAGCGAGTGTTGTGCAAAGCCTCTATTTCTAAAAAATGATACATATGGATGGAAGAGCCAATGGAATAATCAAATAAGGTGCATTCCATAGCACTCCTTTAGTTTCTTTACATTTATATTAAAAGATTATTTGCCTTTGCAATTTCTTTTACAAGTCAATAAAAAAAAAAAGCAGAAAAGGAAAAAAAATTAATGAATTGTTGAATCGTGCAAATCATATCGGTGATACGAAACCACACCAAGTCATGCATGTATATACGATTCAAAGCCATTTTTGATTATTCATATAATCCAAATAGCTGGATTGCCAAATCGTATTGAATCGTGCAATTTGAATATTGAATCATGCAAATCTAACAACTATGGTTTAAAAGTAAGAACAACATATACAGTCCTATAGACAAGAGGAACATTTATAGACTAGGAAGCACCACAGAGGGGGACAGAAAATATCATCATGACCTGTCCACTGCTGACTAGGATAAGAATTAAATTCTCTCCATCATGCCCTACCCATTGCTGACTAGGATAACTTCTTGATGAAATAAGGATTCGGAAATCTTGGGAGAGAATATTTTTCAGTTTTCAAGTATTCTAATTATATAGAGGGTAGGGCTGTATTGGTGTCAGGCAGATTATTGGATATTGGCTTATTTTGGGAGAGGCCAGAGTATGGGAATTTTATTTATCTTTACAGTTTGTTTTACTTTTCCCCATATTTCATTTCCATTTCCGTGTATTTCTGTTTTATTGTATGAACTTCAGTTCCAGTAATAAAATTACCCGCATTCATTCCATTTCCTTTCTTTGTATTAATTGTTTGAACTGAAAATCCATCAAAGTCCTATAGACAAGACGCACATCCAAAATAATGTCCAAGTTGAAAGCACAAAGGCAACAAGCAAATGCATAAGCAGATAGAAGTAAAATGCCAACTTCTAGCAACAAGCAAAGAAGTATGGTAGTTAATACTAAAGTACTATTCTCTATACTTAAAAATATATATATATTGGGAAACTATTGCAATCATGAAGGTTGCCGCCAATAATTTTTTTTTTTTTCCATCAAGTTAACCCACATCACGAACCACACTTTTATGCTTCAAATTACTAGCCTGCCACTCAAAAGATACGCATTCTATTTAGTTTTCCAATATGGGTACACAAATCCCCTGCATTTAATAGCAAATTAATGCCTAGCACCCATAAACATACAAACCTGAATGCATTTCCAACACAATGCACAACACAGTCCCAACGAGACAACCATCCAGCACAATTCGCCCCATAAAGTGAAGACCTAACAACACCAATTTCCACGAATTCCCCCAATTTACACGATTCTAGGGTTTCCATAGGAATAGACGAAAATGCCAAAAACACAACAATTAAGGCAAGAGAAACACCTTATTTCACAAAAGGGTCGCGGAAATGGATGGTAGGGCACAACATGAGACCCCAAAGAGGCCAATTCAACTCGAAATTATTCTGTCCTAGGGTTTTGGAAAAGGGAAACTTTGTTCACGAATTGGCCCTGGAACCTAACATGTAGCAGCAAATGTCAGCGATGGAAGCAATTCTGAGTGTTGTTGAGGAATCCAAGATCACCAATTTGGGTTATCGTGGTGGTGATTTTGCTCCTCTATACGCGCACGTTGGTTGTTCTTCGTGCGTGTGGGCGTGCAGAGGACTATGCGAGTTGTGGGCTAAGCATGAAGACGACGACGTAAAAGGGGGCTTTTGAGAATTTAGAATTCCATTTTAGGGCCTTCTATTTAGTGCATTTTTCATTTTCAAATAGTTCAATGAGCTATTTATTGTTTTATGTTTGTGGAATAAATTTTCGGTGCTACTGTTGCAACAAAGATTCAGTACATCTCACCAATAGAAATATTACATGTCAGCTAAAGTTTTTTTTTTCTGCCAATTTTTTCTCTCTCATGATGTGTAATGTTCCCATTAATAGAATGCATTGAATCTTGGTGAGTAACACCAAAAATTTATTCATGTGTTTAACATACCTTGCATTGATTTTCGGATGATGATAACCTATGTAGCACCGATACGACACGCGACACGTGACACGACACTCCGACACGTCAATCCTAAAAAATTATAGATTTCGACAAGTAGGGACACGTTTTAATATTAAATAATATTTTTAATTTATATAGTGTATATTTCATTTAATATTTAATAATTTAACAAAAAAATAAAACTAAATTAATAATACCCATCAACACGTTATAAAGATGGAAGCTTTAATAAAAAAAATAAGAACTGGGATGAGAGAGAGATCTAATATCAGATAGAGAGATCAAATCATATTAGAGAGAGATCAGAGACAAGAAGATACAACAAGAGCGTGACAGTAATTGACAACAATGATGCTGAGATGATCTCTTATCTACTTAAGGAGAAAAAGACAAAAAAATAAAATTGATATGATCAGGTGGAAGCTTTATTAATATATTTTAATTTTAAAAAAAAATAATTTTTTAAAAAAAAAATTTAAAAAATTTAAAAAATACGAAAATGCCATTTGACCGTGTCGGACACGATCAAATTCGCGTGTCGGAATGGTCATCGTGTCGGAAAAAGTTGACCGCGTGTCCGACACCGAGTCGGAGCGTGTCCGACACGACTCTCCCTATTTTTACAAGTGTCCGTGCTTCCTTGTTGATAACCAAAGGTTTTTCTTTTTTTTTTCCTTTTTTTTTAGATTTCCTTACTTTTTGCTTAAAGTTGGAAAAATGTTAAAAGTTAGTTGATAAATTGTTATGTCATCATATTTAAGTATTTGTAAATTGAGTGCACAAAATATGTGTGTTTGTCAATTGGAGCGTGTAATTGCATTGTAATATTATATAATGCATAATATGTGAATATGCTTTGTGGGATGCAAAAGATGAAAAATGCCTTGTGTGATGCATATTTGTAACCCCTCGTAGTACTCCGATTGTTAACATCATGATATTATAGCGTACACAGCGGAAGATTTTATTTAAAGATTAATAATTTATCTTGTAAAAATACGAATAAAATTTTTCCAAAATATTTTCTGAAAACATTTCTAAAAACATTCACATGAGATACTGCGAAAGCATAAATCTAAAACATACATCTATTAATTAATCCTATTAGCCAGTATTAGTGGTCATTGACTAACCGGATATGACGACAACTGTCATTCCTGCCAGAGTCTTACGGACAGCATAACAGCTGTTTAACGGATAACTAGGAGATAAGAATCTCACTCACAATCACCTGATAAACACAGTTAAATAACAGATAACTTGCAAGTCCCACACAGACCGCAATCCCCTCAATGGGTCAATACATAAATAATGGCTCCGTGCCCGAATTAATAAATCCAAACATCATATCTTTGCGAACACATCACATGCATCTAACATAACTCATAATACATACATCCATAATCCTAAAGTTCAAATAATAATAATCATGAGCATTATTACATACGTCAACAGAGTATCAACATAGTCTATCTAGGCATGTCAAAACACTACACATGCTATATAATCAAATAACAGCATGACATCAATAGCAGCATCAGTCCACTAGTCCGTAGCTGGGCCCTTGCCCTTAGACTGCACACTGCTAACCTAGGTACCTGAAATGATGTCCCCAAACAGGGTGAGATAACACATCTCGGTACGCTCAAGGTTCATAGAGGATCCTCTAATCTCCTGAGCCCACTTCCTGCATGAGAAGTCAGATACAAAACATATAATACAGGCATACAACATAAACATAGCATCATCATATCATCCTTGTGTAACCCCAGGGTCAAAGCCATAGACAGTTACACATGTGTGACTCCAGGGTCAAGTCATAGACAGTCAACACAACCTCGGTATGAAATAGCTCCCAGAATCAAGTCATAGGTATAAAAACTCGTACCGTTAAATTAGGAATTTAAATGATTTAATTATGAAATTATGAGATAATTCCATAATTGACCTAGAATAATTATGAGAAGACTTAAATAATTATTATAAGGGCTTAATAATATTGAAAGTCATTTTTCTGACGAAAAGTGCAAATATCGGTTCTGTTTCACGGTATAAGTGTGTACCAGTGAAGTATCCCGAAAAATTATAATAAATATATGAATATTCCTAGAATAGTATTTAGGACTGGTATGTCAAGTTTGAAGTCAAAATAATGAGAATTGGCGTCAGAACTAATACCGACAGCGTGAAAACACGTACCGGAAAAGTGATGCGAAAAATTAAAATTAAAATATGTCAAATCCTAGAAAAATGGCTAGGTTCAGAATATGAAGTTTGAGATTAAAATGATTAGTGGAGCTATCAGCGCTAATACTGATGCTTAAACTTAAGTGCTTGTAGCTGACTCTTGGTGAGTTTTCTGACTCTTGGTGGTTGTCACCTTCTCCCCTCTTCAAAAAACTTGGCTTTTTCCTCCATTTTTAACCAAAGACTCCACTTTTCTTCATGAAAACCTTCCTCCATCATGGTGTAGGCTTGTAGCACGCATTGGGGAAGTGGAGAGTGTGTTCTTGTGTTTTTGAGGGTTTGTCCTCTGAGCATTTGGGCGCTGAATTCTTGGGGTTCTTGTTGAGGAAGCCTTTTCTTGTCATTTGAGGCTTCAAGGAGCCACCTTTTGGTATAAAGGGCCAAGCTTGGTGATCATTTTCGTGGCTTCACTTGTGCAGCATATTTGGGTAGTATAGAAGCCACCAAATCACCTTCTTTTCTGAGTTCTTGAGACTCCATAGGTATACCTTGAACATTCCCTTTGAAATTTCATGAATTTAGCTTGTTTGTGTCATAAAAAGAGATAACTTTAATCATTCAAGCTAAGGGTTGTTAATCTAGGTTTAATAAGTGATAATGGACTGCTGTTTTGAGAGAAATCGAACCTTGGACCATCGGAATCCATTGCAACCTTGGATTATGCAGAAAAATTCAGCAGATTATTGTTCTGTCCGCGTGGTAATCGATTACCTTTCACTTGGTAATCGATTACCATGTGCAGTAATCGATTACTTTGTTTTGGGTAATCGGTTACCATGTGCAGTAATCGATTACCAATGTTTGGTAATCGATTACCACCTGTCAGAATGACCAGAAACCAGTTTTAATGCGTGGGAGAGTCTCCATTTGGGCATGATGTCCTAGGAAGTCAGTATTATTGATGGGGAACGTTAATACCTTTAATAGCGGGACTTAACACTTAATAATTATGAATTAGAAAGGATGAAAACGAAAGAGAAGACCTTGTTTAATGATTATGAAATTAAGATTTCTGATTATTAAATTGTGTATTCATAACGAACAGATTGCAATTGACTTGTGGTGAGACTGTTAGGTTGTCTGTTTTTACCGAGCCTTTGGATAGACATTTTGGCACTACAGGTAAGTTTTCGTGTCCTCGGTTTTGCCCATTGTTGGTTCCACCATACCTCATGGAGGGATGGTTTATATGCATGATGTGTTTTAATGAAATTATCTGATGATTACTGAAATGCTATTGAGCTGTTTATTTACGTGCAAGTGCCATATGATATGTATGTGGTGTTCCACCTAGACGGTAAGCCTGAGTATGTGGTGACATACAAGATGGTGATTCTGTGGGTGAGGTACAAGCGGTGTTCCTTGTACTGTAAGTTGTAGACATATGTGAAAGTTCGAAATGGCCTTGAAGGCCGATGCATGCAAGAGGGAAAAACAAAATTTTTCTTTGCGGAATATACATGCACATCAAGATCATGCTTTAGGAAAGCATGATGTTACCTTATTCGTGAAATCACCAGATGATCAAGGCAGGTCTGAAGGGTTCAGACCCTCTAACGTTGATCCACACCTCCCACTCGTCTAGGTGCAAGAACTCCTTCTTGTGAAGCCACCGGATGATCACCACAAAGAGGTTTGCTAGGCGCTCTCTATATGTGAAGATGGAGGCTAGGTGACAGTGTTTGAAAAAGTGAAGCTCTCAATGTGAAAGCTTCACAAGTGGCGCAGGAGAAAGGAGAGAATAGGCTAGGCTTTTCAGAAAAACCCTTGGAGGAACAACTGATCACATAGGCGCATAAGAGGAGAGTATTTAAAATAAAATACCAATCAGATTTTTCTTTAGGCGTCAGATTGGAAGAGAGAAGTGGAGCTGTTTTATTTCAAAAATTGCTAATAGTCTCCTAGAATATTCTCTTGAGAATTGGTTCAAAACCTATTCAAAATTCTAATCAGAAATCTTCATAAGATCAGCTATATGGTACGCCCCATATAGCCCAAAAAGGTGACCAGATACATCTGAGTAGTTGCATTCAAATTTGAATCAACTCACTCAGATTTTCTCCCAACTGACTGAATCTTCTGGAGCTGATTTTGATGAGCAAATCTTGCTCACCAACAACCCAAATCAGCGCCATATATGGCCTTGGATCTTGTCCAAAAGATTCTCTCATGATACTAGTGATTTGTTCCAACAAGATCTCATCTTATCCTTTTGTTATGAAACAACCTTTCATAGGCAATTCAAATTCAAATATTTGAATTCAAACATTCAAATATTCAAATTCAAATGTTCAAACATTCAAATTCAAAATTCAAATTTTCAAATTTCAAATTTCAAAATTCAAAT